ATTCCAATGATTCCACATCAGTGTTTCCAAACTATCCGGTTTCTCTAACTACTGGAATTTGCTCCATCCATAGCACACCAGTGAAGGATAACACAAACAATTATTAGAGGATTTAAGAACAAGTCAATTAGCAACTCTAGGACTTAACACATGTTATCAAGGTAACTAGTTAAAAGTGTAATATGATTCATAATTAAACTATTTTGCACCCAAACAGATTCAATTAATTAATTATAGCAAATTTTGCTCATCACAAAGACTTTAGTTAAGTATTATATCTTCATGCCAAATGAGGCCATGATGGCTGAACCACGTTTGTGAAGAAACAAATCAGCAAAGCTTAAAAAGGTTCCCAAGAGAGGCTGTTAAGTGGCTTTGTGCTCCACCTTTTTCTTTTGATTCTGCTAACGCTGCCCAGCTCTCATCAGCCCAGCTCTCATCAGCCTCCGGCCCGCTCCCTCCTTGAGACCCAGCACCATGCCTTCATTTAAGTTGCAGTGCTCTGATGGAGAGAATTTTGAAGTTGATGTTGACATTGCCAAATAACAGTGACTATCAAGGCCAAGTTAGAAGATTTGGAAATGGATGGTAAAGGTGATGATGACCCAGTTTCTCTACCCAATGGTAAGGCAGCAATATTTTATATAAGATCATTCAGTGGTGCACCAACCACAAGGATGACTCTCCTCCTCCTGAAGACGATGAGAACAAAGAAAAGTGAACAGATGATATCCCAGTTTGGGACCAAGAATTCCTCAAAGTTGACCAAGGAACACTTTTTGAACTTATTCTGGCTGCAAACTATTTAGACATTAAAGGTTTGCTTGGTGTTACGCGCAGGGCTGTTGCCAATCTGATCAAGGGGCAAACCCCTGAAGAGCTTTGCAAGCCCTTCAATATCAAACATGATGTTACTGAAGAAGAGGAGGCCCACGTATGCAAAGAGAACCAGCGTTGTGGAGAGAAGGGGAAAGTTGTGCCAGGCACTGCAACACTAGTTGCACTGCTCTGTTTATAACACTAGTTGCACTGCTCTGTTTATAATTGTTGACATTAGATAAACACTAGACAAATGCAGCAGCAAATCAATTGTATTCGCAGAATATGATCCTCATTGCATGTGTAGTTTGGGTACAGATTCCAAAACCTAAGGCTGAGTTTCTTCCAGTGTGATCAAAAGTATTTTTCTTTGCTCTGACTAAAACTAAACTGTGGGTTCTCTATAGAAAAAAAAAAAGGTTCCCAAAAGAAAGAAAAAAAGGGGTGGGGTGGGGTCAGTTGGCTAATATGTAGTCATTTCTCATTCATTTACAAAACTTTTCAAGTTCTTAGACAATGAATGGTGTATTAAAAACATTGAACTGGGTGATGACCAAAATAAAATAAGAGTTTTAAATCCTAGACATCTCACAAGTAAAGTTTAATTCATAGACATTATAATTATTTTTGACCTTATAAGAAGAGCTATCTCATATATATAATAGAACTGGCCCCAGGGAATTTGTCATACGATTCAGAAAACGCCAAAGAAGTAACATTTCCTCAGACAGGTTACTTTGCTGTCTCCCTTCTTGATGTTCCAAACACAGTCATGCTCATTCTCAGAAGGTAGACTTTGCATGTTGTGAGATTTTGTTCTTTGTCCTTAAAGGAAAGTACAGATATTTCTTTGGAGGATGAGGGGAAGATGCAAAAAAAGAAGTTCATACACAGCTGATATATATATGCCCACCCATGATATCAAGGCAAACCTGTTTGGTTCTGTGACAACCCATAAAAAAGCTCACAGCCACAGTCATGGCTGTGCTTTCAGGCTCATTACAGAAATAGCACCAGTGACAGAAACCACACAGGCAAAAGCGTCCAAGTGTGGAATGTCATGGGGTTGCTATTTTCTTCTTTATTCTTTTCAACATGACTTCAGTGTTGTACAGTGAACACCTGTTACTCTTTTGATAAAACAAAACAACAAAAATCTTTAAAGGACTGCAATGCAGCCTTCTCTTACACTATCGCATTCAGTGTCATGGAAGACATATGGTTCATTTTAAAACTGTTCCATGAACTCATCAGTGAGAATCCATCTAATCAGTTCTCCATGACGAGAGAGGAGAAATTATTAAAAAATCAGAAAGATAAGTGCCTGAGCCAGCGGCCAGATTCTCCATAGAGAAGAGGGGAGACAAGACAACAAAATTATATTTCCATCTAACATGTGACAATGCAGCACTGCCCACTGACCCCAGACCTTAGAGGAACAATCTTACCCACTGGGTAGTTATTGTCATGCCTACTCTAAAGGTAAAGAATCTGAAACTCAGCCCCAGCTGGTTTGGTTCAGAGGCAGAGCATCAGCCTATGAACTGAAGGATCCTGAGTTCAATTCCAATCAAGGGCACCTGTGGGTTGTGGGCTCGATCCCCAGTAGGGGGCATGCAGGAGATAGCCTATCAATGATTCTCTCTCATCATTGATGTTTCTATCTCTCTCTCACACTTCCTCCCTCTCTAAAATCAATAAAAATAATCTGAAACTCAGCTAGCTGCCAGGGCAACACAGCTAGACAGTGGCAGAGTTGAGATGAGGTTCAGCTTGGCACCACCCAACGTGTTCTCTGTCCATGCCTCCCTAAGCTTTGGTCCTCCTCGGAGATCCCCTGAGAACAAAATTGCCTTTTCACGTTGTCCCTGTTTATTTCCTTTCTTTTACCACATGTGTGCTTGGCAGAAGAGAAGAAACTAAGATTCTACTCAAACTTGAAAACACATGGGTTGGGGAATGAGATGCCCAGCAGAGTGAGTGACAGGCAGGGTTTCCACCTCTCCCCTCTTGAGAATGGTTTTTGACACATTCCTGCCTCTTCCAGGAAGGGGTGGCTGACTCTGGAAGGGTGCTCTGCCACCACACCATGCATGCAGAGCACAAGCACATCTCGCACACATCCTATCCTCCAACCTCCATGCACAATTATCCCAGGAGAGTTCTCATGAGCACCCACACTTCATGCACCAGGCCCCTCACACAACCTAGTGGCCCCCACTGTGGCCTCTATGGCAGTGTTTAGAGACAGAAGGTGAGCATCTGCCTGGCACCTAACATTCCAATGGTCTCTGTTCATGTCAAAGTTGTTTCTCACAGCTTTTGCCAACATGCTCATCATATTTCTGCTTGCAGTCCAGGGATCATAATACAAAATAAATCACCGAAGAGGGAAAAAATAAAATTGCAAAAAAGAGACAGATAGAACTAATCTCTGCAGCCTGCTCTCCAATTTTTGTTTTCAACACATTCTTTGGACATGGGAAGAAGACCACAAGTGTAGCCTGCTGGGGAAAAGCATAGCCTTTCATTCTATTTTCAACAGACAAGGACCCAATCAAACTCTATTCCTCAAGTAGGAAGCTTCCAAAAGAGGACTTACACTTGTCAATCATTTAATTAACAGAAGAAATGAAAGCAGCCAGCAACTGTAGAGCATGTACTATGTGTGGGCAATGGGCTGGGCATATGCATTTATGTTCACAATCTCACTGAACCTCAATGACAACTCTTCAAGGTTTATTATCCCCAGCTTACCGATAAGAAAAATTTGGTTTAAGAGCTTAGATGACTGCTCAAAGTTGTACAGCTAGACCAGACTTTCCACCCTGGGAGACCACACAGTTCCTAATTGCTATGCTCTACTGCTTCCCATCAGACCTTCAAGTGATGGGCATTAGATTCCAAATAAAACGCGGGTTGCCTGTCTAGCTGCTTACCTCACTCCAAAGTCTAACATTAAGATCTTTCCATTTCATTAGGCAGGAGGTGGGCTCAATGTAGGAGAGGAGAAGGGGAACCCAGAGGATTCAAATTATAACAGGAAAATGGATTGAAAGAGCTAAACGTATGTATTGGAGCCAAATGGTTTGGCAGATGCAGCCATGTTCAGGGATTTGTGATGACAGGGACAGTCCTTTTTCCACCCCTCTTTGAGCTGCCTTTATATAACTTTATCTTTTATGTCCAAAGATCAAATAAAAAAAGATCACATTTAATGAGAAGTAGGGGAAATAAACTGGTGGCAATTAAAGAGTAAAAATAACTTCTCTGTGGCTTCAGACCACAGGCGTTTGCTCATTTTAAGAGGCACAGGCAAATCACTTAAGGCCTTTTAGGCTGAGTTGGTCTCACGTTTCCTCCCACACCCATGGTGATTAAAGTTACAGGCAGTCATAGCTCTTGAACCCATGGAATTGTGTAGTAAGTAGAAGTACAATCAGGCCAAACTCATCAACTCACAAATGCAACTTGTAACACGGAAGTCAAATGCAAGTCTCCTGTGTAACTGGTTGCTTTGTGTGTAAGGGGATTAATGAGAGTTAGAAAAGGTCAATGAATAATTTACAAGTCAAACCAGGAAATATATTCTTGAAGAGAGATCTTCCTTCCTTCACCCTCAAGTTCTGATTCTATTCTCCCTGACTCTGGACACCTAGTTGGCCAAGATCCAAGGAGTCATTATTTCACTGCCCTGTTTCCTACATGCAAATCTGTTTTGGTCTAGATGATGAGGCAGACCCAAACTCTTTCTCAGACTTAGAATAACCAAGTTCACTCAAACCCCCACAGGCAGCCAGAAGGATTTGAGATTCCCTCCTCTGCACTATACCACTGTGGCTTAGACCAGAACTTGGGAAATACTCATTGATCTTCAAGTCAAGCAAACACCTGGTAAAATCTTGGATGTTACCATCTTTCCAATGACTCTGTAGATACTAAAAAACAGAATAACCTATGAGGTATTACTCTGAAATACTCCTTGAAATTTCCTAATTTGGGATATAATGTGGGACTGACTCAAGATGAAATCAGCTGCTGAACAGAAAGATGTAAGAGTGTTTATCCTGTATTTTGGCAGCCCTTGTTCTGTACACCAAGAGATATGACACACCCTGTGTCAAGGTCAAGTCCACCCTAGGTTTGTAACTGAATCCCATCCCCCAGAGCATTGCACTTACCGGTAGAAAGTAGCATAGTCCACTGTTGAGTGGCAGGTCTGAAACTCCCAGGACTTGAGTTTCTGGCATTCTCGATGGGCTCGAAGCTTTACCTTCACAGTCCCTTGACACAGTTCAGGCACTGGCTTTCTGCGGGGTCTATTGCAGAACTCATTGGACTCCACCCTCCAGGACTCAGCAAAGTCATCCACATCAAACTTGAAGTTTCCATCTCCACCAATTAAGTCATCACGCTTATGTCCATTGTAGTTGCCACAGAGACCACAAAGTTTGCCCTTGAGATGAGGGGCAGCCATGACTTCTACAAAACTGTCTCCATCCCAGGATATTTCCAAACCTAGAGGGAAAGAAGAAAAGGGGATCAACCACTCTTGAATCCATCAATAATTCCCAAGTGTATACATCCTTACACAGCACATATGACCATCCCCTAACAAGGAACACTGAGGGTCTGTCCACATTCGTGGTTATCTTTCATCCTTGCAATATTAAACATCATGTGATTTTACACAAATCAATTATTTGTTAGAACTTAGCATTTTTAAACTATACAAAGTTTGCCCTTATAATGATATCATATGTATCCAGTTTGACTTGTAAATAACTACTTATTGACCATGTTATTTTAAGGTATATATTTCTGCCCTTTTCCAGAGAAATTGCGTTGGCCCAAATCATGAATCCACTTATCCAATGATTACTCTAATGTAAAAAATGCAAAGATGGCAAAAAATGATAGTTTTTAATGTAATTTTTCTTTATCTCCAAATCCCCCATGATTGTTGAGTGTCATTTCATGTACAAAAGCTCATCAGTTTGATTCCTGGGCAGGGCACATGCCCAGGTTGTGGCTCAATGCCTGGTAGGGTGCATGTGGGAGGCAACTAATATGGGTGTTTCTTCTCTCCTTCTCCCTTCCTGTCATCAATAAAAACGTATTTTTAAAAAGCCTTTTGAGGTTCAATGCAAAGTAAATATCAAGGTCTTCTAGTCAAAGAAGGTTTCTTTTGGTCACAAATCTGTGTTAGATATGTTTCATACTGTTCTCCTGGTAATACTCTGGCAGTGCCTGAGTTCCCAGTGAATGGCTGGACTAGAAAACCAATGAAAGCAAAAGAGCCCCCTGGGCATGACCACCCAGGGAACATCTACAACAGGTCAATGAGCACTTTTGCTCTGGGACTTCTCCTTTTTTACTTCCACTATCTCCTAGGGGTGACAACCCCCCCCCCCCCCACACACACACACACACAGCTCTTTTTGATAGAAAAAAGTTTCCTTTCTTACTCTCTGTGGTTTTTTTTTTGTTTTGTTTTGTTTTTTGTGTTTTTTTGTTTGTTTGTTTGTTTGTTTGTTTGTTTTACAAAAACTAGTCTTTCCTTGAGTCAGTTCTGAGCAGCTGGAAAGAGCAACATGATTCTCTTCCTGAAAGATCTTGCCTTTGCTCTTAGAGTATCAAATGAGGCTGATGAGCAAATGTTCAGAAGATGCTCAGAAGTTGGGGAATAAGGTAGTAATGGGAAAGGAGGCGGAAGGGAAAGGATCTTGCTTGGGTATAGAATTGGCATAAGAAACATCAAAGTGATGTGAGATCAGTAAGATACACTCAGAAGTAAGGTTCTAAAGCCAATATTCCCTAAGTTTGGACGCGGTCCATGAGGCGAGGAGGCTGGCCAAATAACATTCCTGTGAAGAGACCACATAACTTCCACAAGAAAGAGTTACATATCTGCAATAGGGGGTGTTATTGGTAGAATAAACCAGGGGTCTAAAACTGGATATCTTAAGAAATAAACAGAAAATCCCACGTGTAAATCACTGTATGTTAAACTAAAGGAATGGATGCATTCTTAGTTCACAACAAATGGTAGAAAAGCTTTTTCTGGTTGCAATAAAAGCTGAGTTCAGAAAAGCAGTAAAGTGGAGTTTAGTAAAGAAGCAAGAGAGATGATTATAAGAAAGTTTCTCTTGAAAGAAATCTGATGAGGAGAAGACAGTAATAGGACAAGGTGAGTAGAGAAGGGACACACTGCTAAAATGCCCACATACTGAGCTGACCTCCCATGTGGATCTCTGAGAAGATGGTGTCAACTCTGACAACCACAACTATCGGATACGCTAAGTTACATGTGTACATACCCCCTCATCTAGCACAGTATCTGGCACTGAGTGTACACTTACTAAATGAATGAATTACCCTGTAAATTGATATATCATGCAAAGCCAAGGAAATTGTGAATTTCATGCTGGTTAAGGCACTGAAATAACAATTTTGGGAAAAGACAAGCAAACTATAATATGATTTGTAATACACTCTCTACAGTATAGAGGAAACTTGACCTTACAAGCCTGTAGCCAGGCAGCTGCCCAGCAAGAGAAATGAGGGGGGAAATCAGTTTCATCCACACTCTAACTTTTACAGCACTGTTCCAAGATTTTTCCGTGCTGCAAAATTTTCCAAACTACAAATCTTTTTCCTAGACAGCAAGCAAACACTCTTCTTCCGAGTGCCACAATGATTGAGAACTTCTATCCAAAGAAGCTCCAACATCACTACTGACAATAACAATAAATTTGAGACTTTGGCAACTGAATTCATGGGAATTCAACTCATGGTGAACAAGGCGGTCATTGTGTTCTTTCTCTGCAATGGACTGGTGGTCCGTGCAGGCCTGGGGAGACCCACTGTGTTCTTACTAACCTCTTCTTAAAACTCTTACCATCTCACTCATAAAACATGGTCCCCAAAGTAAGAGCATACTCTGTAATTCGCTCTCTTTCCTCCTCTTTTCTTTATTATATTAAAAGGATTTTCACGGGCCAATGCTAGCTTTCATATTCTGACGGGATAAATTATTCAACTATCGATGCTTTTGTCTCTTGCAGTATTGTATACACACGTGTTGGCATGATTTTTTTTTTTTACTCTCTACATTAGTAAAATCTATTAAAACTAGATTACAGCAGTGACAGGCAAAAAAAAAACAAAAAAAAAAAAAAAACCTAACAAGTTGTAATTGAAGAGATTGCTCTTCCAAAAGATATTTTAAATAAGCATCTTAGGAGATGAAATATGGAAGGCTGTGGTTCATCTTTTCTGCAGCTGGGATGAGTTTCCTAATTCTCTTGCTGGAAACCGGGTAGAAATAACTGGCAGAGACAGAGGCTGGAGCCGAAGCACATATCCCATCCAGGGATGAGCAGCGGCCACATTCCTTCCGCTGTATGAACGGCCTTCCAATTTTCCCTCCTCACCAGCGCGTGTTTTACTAACTTGTTCTTCATCCTTCAAACATGTGACCTAGCTTCAGACCCTAATTTGGGGGATTTTCTTGAGAGGGGTGGGTCAGATATGGGGAGTTGTTCTTTTATTTCATGGTTGTTTTGTTTGTTCTGCTTTGTTTTGTTTTTAGGTTGTTATTGTTGCTTTTGTTGTTATCAAACAACAAAACTGGGATCAGTTTACATCAAAGGAAAAAAAATTTAAAAAAAAATAATATATATATTCTCCAGGTCCGAGTGTAGAACTCTTGATGAACCCGGAAACAAAGTTAATAAAAAGCCACATTCACAAGTGCTAATGCCTTTCAGGTGGGCCTGCTGTAACTCTTTCAGGTAAAGCTGATGATGCGAACAGATGGCAGAAAGGAAATATTTTCAAATTATCTGGCCTGGGGGAAGTGATGGGATGAGAAGTGCTTTCTCAAGCTACCAAGCGTTGCTCAAAGCCCTGTGTACTACCCCTATGTTATCAGGAAAGCAGCTACCACTGAAGTCCACCCCAGTGACAAGCCACAGTGCTCCCTGCAGGTGATCCCATCATGAAATGCTGAGTCCATAAACCACAGAGGCAAAATCATTCCTCCCATTTACCCTTCCTCCAGCTGCAGGTTTAATTTAAGCTGTTATTCTGAAGAAAGTACCCTTTTGATCATACGAGCTTATGAAACTGGAAAAAAAAAATGATGGAAGAACCCTCCAGGGATATTTTAAATACACAATCAATAGGTGATAAAAACAAAATACCCCTAAGGGGTAGTACAAACTGAATGTGACCAACCAGAGTGAAAAAGACTCTTGTCTGGAAACGCAATTGTCCCATTCAAAGGGTAGTGTCCACGCCAGTCCAATGCCCAGAGGAATACGGCTCTTCCCCAGGAAGCAGAGAGCCTGTGAGCTTCACGGCTCCAAGAAATTGTGCAGCTGAGTATGAAGGGAGCCACATAAATTACTTGAATCCTCAGATGGAAAAACTAATGAAACTGGAAAACTAAGTCCAAGGCCTAGAAGAGTTAGATTCACTAATCGAATTATGGTGCCTATGATGTATTATTATTTTCTTAGCAGCCTCATCCTTGTGCTCATTTTTACAATGTGGACTTCTTACAAAGAGCACACTTATTCCATAAGGTACCGCCAGCTGGGAACAGAGCGGTGTGGAACCTCCTAGCTGTTAGCAATCTTTGAGCATCCAGGATCCATGGGAGAACCGGGCTGTGGTTGACTAATAATTTCCATATCAGTAGAACCCACTGTGTTCAGCTGGCTGGCGCGCAGAGAGGCCAGGCGCTTCTAATTAGTGGTGTTGACTCATGTGTCACTGGTGCACATTTCACATGGACCCACCAACTGCTGCCTCCTTTGAAGGAATGAGCCGAGGCCTCTCTCTGAAGAGGGGCCTGTCATTTGCATCCGACAGCAGGTGGCTACATTTTCTGAGCAGGGCTCATCCCTCTAACGTGGAATGAATGGAGCGCTTCGCATCTGCCACACTCAAGGTCAGGCATGGGAATCTTTTCCCCTTTATAGGATGTTGCAACACATTCATAATGAACGTCTTCTCACTGGAACCATGCTGTCCTCTCTAAATAAAAGCTTCTGGGCTTCTCCTTGGCTTCCTGCCTTGTTTAGTTAGGCTGGCATTCCATAGGCTAAGTCAATTTATCAAACATATATTTGGCTTGAATTAAAACAGTTCACAGGGTTTGGGAGGTAGAGTAGAGCCAAACAGTCTCTATAGCCCCTCAAAAGTGCCTGCCCCAGCCAAAGTTTCCCTTGTGGATCCATATTATCTAAAGGAACTGGAACCCAACTGATGCTTTATCTTTGTTAAATTCTCATCAATGCAAAAAGCAAAGACATATCCTGATTTACTCAATATCACACTAAAACAAATAGCATAGGCAGGAAGTTATGCAATCTAACACCCAATTAACAAACAGAATGAACTAACCAAAGGTAGCATGAAAAGAACCACATGTGACATAACAAACCATGTAAATAAGCTAAACTCATACTTTGGGGCCAATACTGAAGAACCGAATCCTGCTTCTACCTCTCTGAGGTAGCGCATCACAGACAAAAATTTGCACCCCACTGAACCCATAGGAGTAACCTAGCAACGGTGAACCTAGCAACCACTGCTGGAGATGTAGCTAACCCTTCCAATGGGCAGGCAGAGCCCAGTGGGCCTCAGGTGACATGGACTGCTGAGAAAGGCCTCAAGGTCAGCTCCACATGCCCAAGGCCAGGCGGAGAGCTCTCAGCAAGCATCCTAACGGGCCCTCGGAGCCAATGGTTCCAGCCATCAGCCCAGTGAGCATCCTTCTCCAGGGTCAAGAACGGACAGGGCTGCTGGTCACACAGCCCTGCCCATGCACTGCATCTGCACACCCACACACACTGCGGTTTCCTTCGGAGGACTCTCCCTTCTTGGACCCATGCTGACAAGGAAACCGTCTCATTGATGTGAAAAGGCTCACTGCTGACTCAGTTGGGAGGGACCCTGACAATTCCAAGCTGGCCATCAGTGGCCTAAAATTAGCAACAAAACAGGAGAAGAGGTTATTTGGGGAGCAGGACTGCTAGTTGTGGAATGAGGATAGAAAGGCCCTGGGTGTCCAGGGATTGCAAGACTGGTGGGACTGGCATGGGATTGCAAGGTAGAGGGTGTGCAATGACTCTGGCTGCTCAGGGGCATCTTCAAGATCTGTTGCCTGCAGCCGAAACCAGTTTGGCTCAGTTGATAGAGCATCGGCCTGCGGATTGAAAGGTCCCAGATTCGATTCCAGTCAAGGGCATGCACCTTGGTTGCAGGCACATCCCCAATGGGAGGTGTGCAGGAGGCAGCTAATCTATGTTTCTCTCTCATCAATGTTTCTAACTCTCTCTCTCTCTCCCTTCCTCTCTGTAAAAAATCAATAATATATATTTTTTTAAAAGATCTGCTGCCTGCAGTTGGGCCACTTCCCTGCCTCTGGGTTTCCCTGAGCAGCGGGGGAGCCAGGTCCTGAGCACTCAGGCAATGCTGCTGTGCGGGTTGGAGAGGTGGAGGGTCACAGACACCCCAGATGCCCACCTGCTTTGGTGGTCACTTTCAGGAGGTAGCCGTCCAGGTCGATGTGGAAGTGCGGCGCCCGCCAGGGCAGCGCAATGCGCGAGCCGTTCCAGCGCACGGTCAGGTGCTGCTGGAGGCTCAGGGTGCCCGCGCCCAGCACCAGGTCCACCGACTTGGTCCACGAGAAGGAGCGGGTCCTGCGGGCGTCGTTCTTCACCAGCACCTGGAAGGGCGAGGCAGGGGAGGAGCAGTCTTTCGTCAAAACGTACTGACACGTCCCCTGAAAGTTAAATGTCCGTCCGTCAAAAGTGTTGTAGTGGGGATCTCCGAATACCGTGCAAACGCCGGGCTCTGCGGATGGGTGAGAGACAAAAGCAGGGTCACAAACCGAGCGCAGGACTCAAGGGGAAATGGGGGGAGGGGGGGGTCCCTGCAGGAAACCTGGAAGGGCACCCGCCGGGTAAGGGAGGGCCTTACAGAGATGCTCTAAGCAAAACAAACTTAACCCAAAATAAAGTTCGGTGGGTTGGTGGTTTTAAAAGTCTGTGCCAAACCTCATAGGACATGGCATGTTTCTGGTGCTTTGATACTGAAAAGTTATTTATAACACTTGTGAATTGTTAAGGCATCTCTGTTTTGGAGCCTTGATATGCATCTGTGTTCTTAATGCAAGGGATGGAGAAATGGAACTAAGATAATTTTGTAAATACAAGTGGACTAATTTTATTACTCATATAAACAAGAATAAAAATAAATAAGAGGCAGCAAAATAAATAACAATATACCAACACACAGTGTTATCTCCATCTAACTAACCTAAAAATTATAAACATGATAGTCTAAATGTTACTTGTGGTTTTAAACTAAAGCAGTATACTCAACACATGTATTTACTAAGGACAAATAAATAGAATTGCCAGATACATGCTCAATACTGCAAGGAACTAAGTTCTGATAAAGATAAGAGTCTCTGTGTTTTACAGAAATACAAGGTACCTATATTTTTATCTGAGTTAGATTTTTTTTAAAAAGTCATAAAACCCATTATTTAGTAAATTTAACTAATTCCAATGAGTTCACCACTTCAAAATACCTTTCTTTCAAATACTTACGAGACCCAAGTAGAGTTTGACATTTAGAGCATCTCAAAGATGTTTTTATAGAAATTTAAATATTATTTTTAAAACAAAATTTGCCATTGATGTGTTCCCCATCTAAAGCTATTTTATCTGTTTTGAAGGAGGCTTGTATGAGGAAATGAGGAATTCATTAAGAGAATTTAACCTAAATGATGAAAGAACTATAACAAAAAGTATAATTTCCAGTCAAAACCAGAACAGATCAAAACTAACAGTCTCTCCCTGGCATAAACCTGGTGCTTTCTGGTTAACAGGGTCTCCTTGAGCGACAACAGGATAATTATAATTCACAGTTGATACTACCATGTGCCACACAAGGCCCTGGCCACTCAATGCACCAAACTCAAGAGAAGGGCTTCTTTCAAGCTCTTAACTCCATACTCAGCAAGAAAACCCGAAACCTAGCAAGGCTTTGAGGTTGTAACGGGTGGATCTTAGCTTGGAAAGGCTAAAGTTCCGGAGAAACTCTCTCTCACTGTGTGCAGGCTCTGGGAACACCTGTCCTCTGCCCAGAGTCCACAGTGTCATCTTCTCCTGAACAGGAAGCAACCACATCTTCTCCTGGTGTCCTGACAACGGTTGCATCAAAATGATCATTAACAAAAACAGTAACAGTTGCCATTTTCTGAGAATTCTGTACATGCCCTGTGTTCTCTTTGCCTGCAGATCATGAATACACTACAGGAAAGCTGTATTTCGATGGTCTCCTAACATTAAACCAACAGCTGAGCACGTGTAGCAAATCCATAAAGTGAATCATTATCTGATCATTAAAAAGTGTGTAAATAATGTTCATGATTGAAAAAATGCTTATTACATAGTAAATGGGAAACAAAGTTCTATCTTTTTTTAAAAATATACATTTTCATTGATTTCAGAGAGGAAGGGAGAGAGAGAGATAGAAACATCGATGATGAGAGAGAACCATTGATAGGCTGTCTTCTGCACATCTTATTAGTATATTGGGGATTGAACCTCAACCTGGGAATGTGCCTTTTCTGGGAATCAAACTGTGACCTCCTGGTTCATAGGTTAATTCTCAAACTACTGAGCCACGTCAGCTGGGCCAAATTCTATCTTAACTGTCTTAGAATAAATATAGAAACACACACACCAAAATTGTAAACAGTGGTTATTTCTTGTTGACAGTATCATGAGTGATACTTTTTCTTTCTTCCTTATGCCTTTCTGATTTTGTTTTATTTACATTTTTTTTTGAAGAGTCAAAATATGGGTACCTGTAGATACAGCCAATTATGTGACAAAGCAAATCCTCAAAAAAGAAACAGAAAATATACTGTGTTGAGTGGCTCTGGGGGAGCTGGAGCTGACTCAGAGCTGGGCAGAGAGCGATGAGGACACAGGAAACTGGCAAGGGAGGCCGTGTGTGAGCAGGGCTGTCAGGAAAGTGATTTTTCTAGAAGCTCTAACTTGAGGAGGAGAAGGGTTTGGAGACCAGGATGATTTTTCTGGGTAAGAGCAATATGGAAGGAGCCAACAAAATGTCATGACCGCAAAGATGTCTGAGAATTATGTGTCGCTTTTGGGGACATTTGTAGCATGAGCTAAAATAATTTGGAAGCCTTGGCCCTCTTTCCTGGCACCTCAAAGTCCTTATGCCAGGTCCTGCAGGGACAGAAAACAAGTACACTGAAGAGGGACTGAAAGTGAGAACCCCAGAATCACACAAGTCTGCCTGGCTGAGAAGGAATAAGGCTATGGAGGCTCTTAGGGACATACACAAACATTGTATTCTCATCGAGTTTTTTTCCAGCAGATGCAGTGGAATGAACTGCAATCCAGGATGTCCAGATGTCTGGTCACACTTTCTGGAATGCTCAGGGTGATAGTTGGAGCTAAATAAGCAGATTCTTCTACAACTAACCTTAAATATGTGTAAGTCAGAGGGAGAAGAGGAAAATTTGAGTTTACTCTTGGTGGTACTTTTAAGTCAAATCATCAGATTTCGTTTTTATTTTGGTTTGTTTTCCATATATGTATACAAGGGTCTAGGCAAAGGGGAAAAAAAAGATTAAAAGTATATAAATCCCAATATAAAGAGTGTCATTTTTTTCTCTTAGGTTATGGAATTATGGGTGACATTTATTTTCTTTGCTCATTTATGTGTATTTACATTATCTTATACAACTACATTCATGATTTATAATCACTATGTACACTTCTGGAAAAAGAATATTTGCTTTAAAAAATTAAAAATATTATATTGAAACATGACTTTGCTGTTAGATATTTAATAAGATTCCTATGAGAATTAAGAACATCGACTACTTCTGAAAACATAATTCCATGCTTTTCTTTAATGTCATCAAGTACATTTATTTCTGTCCTGGGTGTATTTATTCTAATGAAATGCCTTCATTCTGAGAGTAGTGATTATTCTCAAGACATCCATCAAAGAAAATTAAGGGGAAATTACACAACTCCATGCTATGAGGAAGAAAATAAAAGAAGTTGGGTGGACTCCAAACTTCTTCCCAAAACACACAACAAACAAACAAACAAAAACAGAAAATTATAAGGAAGAAAAAAAAATCTATCATTCATGGTTCTGCCATAAAAAATAACCACTGTTTACAATTGGGGTGTGGAGGAAGGAGTGTGTGTTTGTGTATTTTAACATAGTTAAGATTAAGATTATCCTGTACATGAAATTTTACTTCCTCTTCACTGAACATGACACAAGATTTCCCCAGTCATTAAAATCACTTTGAAACATAGAAAGTGATTTTTATTGTCTGTTCATTATTTCTGCAGAGAAAAATTTCTCCAACTCATCCTATCACACACCACCGTGGATCAGTACATTTCCAGAGAAGTGTTCTAACCTCGAAAAAATCTATCAGATAAAAAAATAAAATAAGATAAAATAAAAGAGGTTTTCAGCTTCCCTCACACAAATTGCAGGGAAACTGGCTGTGTTGGACTCCAGGGTCCCTGGGTCACGCAGGGACTCCTGGGAACCTCAGGTGGGGAAGAGACGTCACAACAATGTCAAATTTGAGTCAAGAACCAGGGAAGGGTGGGATTGGAAACACTGATCTTAACACAGCTCCCGTGTTATGGGTCCCAGCTCCTCCTAAACAGGCTGTGTGACCTGAACTTTTCCACGCTCTGGATCGCGTGCATCCCTATAAATTTTACATCCTGGCTTCTTACAAGAATTTAATTTAACTTTACTGGGTGAATGTGGAGAGAAAGGGGTCGTGGCTCTCTTTCCACCAACCTATAATCCACCAGGTATAGTTACACATCTACATATAAAATCTAATTTTTAAAAAAGCCAGAACTGATAATTAGTAGATGCCTGAAACAAATATTTAAAGAAAAGGGATATTGTTAAGAATGTATGCTGAAACCAGTTTGGCTCAGTGGATAGAATGGTTCGATTCTGGTCAAGGGCATGTACCATAGTTACAGGCCCATCCCCAGTAGGGGGTGTGCAAGAGGCAGCTGATCGATGTTTCTCATCAATGTTTCTAACTATCTTTCCCTTCCTCTATGTAAAAAATAAATTTATATATATATATAAATATATATTTATATATATATATAAATTTATATATATATTTATATATATAAATATATATAAATATATATATTTATATATATATATATAAATTTATATATATATGTGTGTGTGTGTGAAATTTAAAGGTATGTAAATTTCTTTTTACATATTTTCTAGAACCCCAGTTACTCATCAACTTCAAATGGAAGAGCAAAGGAAAGCATTCCTACCTTCAAATTCTAATCTAATCGAACTCCTAAACCCACAACTGACATCCTAGGGCCTCCTGACTGAGCCTCCCTTCCCCAAATCCATTCTTCACTCCACAGTGGCCTGAGTCTGACCCATACCTGACATTGCCCAGCACAGGATCCTTCAGCTTCCAGCTGCAACTTCATGAATGCCACACTTCCCTTCCCTCCAAATCTCTAAAGTGGGACTGACACATGGCTCTGAGATTCTGGGATGGTTTTCATTTCAAATACTCTACCCTATAGACACTTTATGTTTTTCAGTTTGTGGGGTTGAAAATATGGCCACCAAATCCATAGCATGATTATGATCATCAATTTCTACCCTAGCTTATAATTATAATGCCTTTAACTCTATCTAAATCAGACCTGATGTATATTTGGTGTAATCTCTCAGTGCCTTGCATGCTGCCCTACTGCCCAATATATTGG